GGTATTGTAGCTAAGTCAATTATCCTAATTTTATCCTGATTTGAGAGATAAGACTTAGAGTACACAGCCTGTTTAAGTTTATGATTTGTCTACTTCTGATAGCTCTTTTGTCTTCTGTTAATCAACTTATCCACCACAAGCTGTGTAGCTTTGGCAACAGATTTTTCCTAATAAAGCCAGTAAAGCATATTTGAAGTTGGAAATACTTCATAGTGAAAGAAACACAAAGACAGAAAGACAGAGGGGAGTGAAGGCAATGAGAGAAAAATACAGGAGGAAAATAAACACGGACAAGAAAGAGATGAGATCCACAGTAAGGGAATGAAAAGAGGGAGGAAGGAGTGATGGGAGGGCAGGGAGAGAGGGAGGGAGGAAGGAAAAGGAGTAAAGACATGAAAGAGAAGGAGAGTGGGTGTTCATAAGAGTAAGACATGGTAAGGGAAATGATGGAGTTGGCACCAGGGAGCAAAGGTAGAGAAGGGGAGTGATGAGTTTGGAAGAAGAGTTCAGCAAAGGCCTTGGATCCAATCAAAAGACTGTTTTTGATTCAGTTTTTCATTTCACCTAAAATAATGTTTCAACAGTCACATGCTCATAGCTAAGCACCAGCCTTGGTCTTTGAATGGGTACTCGTTTGGAGAAAAACACTCCTCTGTGGCCCCAGATGAACTGTGGAAGCCAACTGCAGCTGTAGCTTGGGGAACCAAGTATTGCAAGATTAGCTAACCTTGTTTCACTCTGGCAGCCAATGAAGAATTATTCAGACTTCAGGAGATGTGGTCTAGAGCTAGACACCTGATTGTTTAACATTGCTTGAGATGTTTGACCCCAAAAGTTACTGAACAGAACCAATTTTGGTTGTGAGAATATTTAGTAAGGGAACCCTGCAGCAGTGAACCACTTTATTTATGAATTGACTGATCAATGTTACGTTTACATTGGGAGTTTAGTAATGTATATTAGTTGGTTAAGTTAAACAAGATTAACACGCCCTGACAAGTGAAATCAAAACTAATAGTAATATATCTAATCATAATTCTTTCATTGGTTATAGTGCCAAATATACACAAAATATATTTACTATATCGGCGGTTTGGAGAATGGATGGAGGAGGATGGGGTAATGACAAATATGTTTTGTGTGTGTGTGTGTGTGTGTGTGTGTGTGTGTGTGTGTGTGTGTGTGTGTGTGTGTGTGTGTGTGTGTGTGTATGTGCATATATATATAATACAATACATTTGTCATTTATATTTTATTTTCTTAAAAATATTTGAAGAAATATGTATTCTGAATTCTGTAGCTCTAGAGTAAAGGAATGAGAACAAGGAACACTATGTTATACTTTTAAAAAAAGTTGAGTTCGACAGCTCATTGTTTATTGTTGATTCAAAATAATGTATTTGTAAAACCCATCTGAAATACAGAATACATTACTACAACAAATTATAACTGAAATTTCATTTCGGTCCACAGTAATTCTCATAAGAAATAAAATATTGATCAGGATCGATATAAAGAGTCTGAGTAGTACAAAATCCTGAAAAACAGCCCTGTGTGAAGTCTCAGTGGTAGCAGTGTTTACAAGAACTTTGCGAGAAGCACATGCAAAAGCAAACTGCACTGCTGCACAGACAAGCATGTACAGAAGTGTCTCACCAGCATGCATGGTCACATCAAGTGAAAACAGTGAAAAAAAGCATGTGTGTGAAATTCCACAGGGACAAACTTATTTTTCGGAGACAGAACAAAAAACAGTAGCTAAGTGTGCACATTTCCTGCGAACTCGTAAACACGCTCATAACTATTTCTCACACCAAAAACGAATGAGAAGTTTCTCAAAAACACAAACTCGTAAACACACATGAAGCTTCTAACAAATGCATAACAAACCATGTATCAAGCTCTTCACAAACTTATACATGTATGCATGATGGCTCTCAAATGCATACACGTGTAGAGTGGCTGTCTGCCTCCCACATGCAGTATTTGTGACGCATAGGAAAAGTCATTAGACCCGCACTTCCTCTCCAAATAGAAGAGAAAGAAGAAAAGACAGTCTAAGATGAAACACACAGGAAACGCGTGGGTGTCTGTATGTGTGTGTGCATGTCCGTTTGTGTAGGCTATTTGTACGTGCACATGCACGCACGTGTCCCCCAGTCTTAAGTTCCACCCCTAGGTCTGGTGACCAGTGTCTTGTAACTGCTTGCCTTTGATTGCTTTCATTGACCAGAATACAGATACAATTACAGCCAATTTAAAAAGACAGCTAAGGGTTGGCTTGTTCAGCAGACAAAGTTAATCTTGTGGGTTCAGCATTTGTCCAAAGCATCTCCCACTAATTTCCAGATTTAGAATTACATTCAACTGGAGAGCACCCACTATAATTATGTAATACTGTTTCATCTGAAAATGTGCAACAAATGTGGATGGACTTTGTAAGAGTATCCTGGTATCTCACAAAACTGGCTGGATGATATAGTTACTTTTTCAGCATCCCTGACTCACCTTAAAATATTGACAGTTTGTGAGCTTTTGAGAAAACGCACTCAATTCTTAGGTAGCTCTGATCTTCTCATTTGTGTGCTGGATCATGCTGGATGTGTTTTTCGAACACAATGAAAAACATCAAAGCCCACATCTGGCTTCAACGTAAATTTTTGAGTTTCACAAGTTTCATTTCTCCCTTCACAAAGGTACAAACAGTTAGAGCTTCTGCTTTTTAATGGAACTTATGGTTCTAATTGTGTAACTAATCACTTGACATATAAGGGTGTGTGTATTTCTTCATATAAGGGAGCTATAATTTTGCATAACATCCAAACCAGCACTTCCTTGTGTTTATATCTGTGCGTGGGTGCATGCCTATCTGCATCCTCAGTCAACAACAGTCTGTGGTAATATATGTGTCTCTGTATATGAATGTAGTGTCTATGTATGTTGAGTAGGTGCGTGTGTGCGTGCGTGTGTGTGCGTATGCGTGTGTGTGTGTGTGTGCGCATGCGTGTGTGTGCATATGTGTTCTTCTCCAAATTGAAAAAGTCAGTTGAAATAAATGATCCACTGCAGCAGTTTCTGAAAATGAGTGAGACAAAGAGTCAAGGAGGACAGAAATTATATAGAAAGGAAAAGGGACCTCATAGAAACAACAAAGACAGGAAGAGAGCAAAAGATTGAAATCCTGGGGTTTGGACATCTGTTGAAGCATCAGGAAACTCAATCACTGCATGGCTGAAGGTGGAAGTCTTAACTGTCTACACTGAATCATGCCAGTATACAGCGCGCGCACACACACACACACACACACACACACACAATGCTGTAAAGACAACACAGACATGCAGACAGGTGAAGGACAGCTTTTCTGACTTCCATGGGGACGAGTCACCCTCACACTGACTAACACACATGTACACACAGACACACAGACACACAAGTGGGTTAATTTGGACACTGTATTTCATCTCTGCCTACCTCTGCCATGAACATCTGTCACCTCAGCAGGATCCAAACTGCTAATAAACATGCAAATGCATGCTCATGTGCACACACACACACACACACACACATTATCTCTATTTCTATCTCGCTCTATCATACATGCACTCCTACTTCAGTCAAAATACTACAGATGGCTAAATTTGGCCCACTCACCCGGCATAGCTAAGACATCCTTGCCTCTAGTTGGTTTATTTACCTAGACTGGGCTAGCCAGGTTCATACAATAAATTCATACAGATCCTTATGCAATGATAAACTGCATTATGTTTTAAGAACTAAGACACCTGCTTCCCTTAAGATTCCCTGGGGTATAACTTTCTTCGCTGCTAACAGTAAACAGTGTCTCTGGTGTTGTTTATTGGCACATGAAAAGAGAAAAAGGTCTGTGCGTGCAAAGTTCAAGTCTGAGTGTACCACTCCTAATTGGAAATCCCCCTACACAGCAGACGCTAAAACATGCAGGTGTTACTAACTGTAATGTTTAACATTTGAGCATGAGGCTGAACAGTTTGCAGTGCACTGTTCAAAATGACAGTTTTAGTGTTTTAAAGTTATAACCTTTCAATTTTTGTTTGGAGGATGTGTGTGTGCGCCCTTTTGAATTTTGTTGCTCTCTACTGGTCACAGTTATTCTTTTCATTCAACCACAATAAATGTAAGTATACAGCAAATATTTGTCACAAAATGTACCCATGACAACCATGTGTTCCACATCCCCATGAAATGTTATTTTAAAACAGGTCGCATCCCGAAACGGATATACTTTCTGTTTAAAGAGGATACTGCAGTGGGACATAATGAAGGGAACGGTCATTGCAAAGTGTAAACCAATGAAGCAGATTGACAAGGTGCCACCAAAGTTTGGCCTGAAATTGTAAAAAGCAACAAACAATCAGTGAGGTTGTGGTTGATTATTTATAGAACATTTAGAGAGTTTTCAAGTTTTTCTGGTTATCCACATCAGGCTTATGAAATCTATAGGTCGACAGTTCCTGTTTAAAACTGTAAACAACCTGCACACACATGTGTGACGGTATCATTTTGAACCCTGAGAAGTGTGGCAGCTAAAATGTCAGTGCTGACTGTGGGAGAGCTGCACACAGTTGTATGCATAATGAAGGGGAAGGAGACAGATGGAGAATTGCAACAGAGTGTTACCTACCCTTTCCTTTTGTCAGTTGAAAAGTTTTATACTTATAGTGCAGTGTATACAGTAGCTCTCTGCCTTGCAATGCATTTATACATTTACTTTACTCCTTATGTCTCATGTTGGGGTCTAATAAAAATAAAAAATAAAAATGTGCTCACATTTAATTAAACCAGTGTTGTTCATTATCTGGCACTTCTCAAAACCACTAATGAAACTAATGTTGTGTGTTTTTATGCAGTCAATATTACCATCTAATTACATCATAAATTCAGGGAGCACAGTAGCTGTAATTTAAAGGTTATTAGTGTATATTGCCATTAAAAATAAACACATTAGCTTAGTGCCTTACCTTGACAATCCAGTTCCCCTGTACTTTCCCACTGTAGAGGTCTGGAGCCAGTGAGGATTCCTCCAGTGTTAATTAAACCGTCTGTCTTGGAGAGAATTAAGGTCGTGATCTCCCAGACCTCACCACTCCCACACTCCCTGAGAAGAAAAGAGAGAAAAAAAGAGAGTTAATGGAGGAATAAAAGGATGAAATGACTTAATGAACCGCCTGACGAGGCCTGCTGCCGTTTAATAAGGGCTTATTAAAGCTTAATTAGAGCAATAATCCAGCTTGTTTGGAGTCATTCAATGTTGACTTGTGTCTGATTGTGTTTTTATGGCAAATGGATAAACAAGGAAGCATTGTCATTCCACAGGAAGGGAGATAAGTTCAACAGAGTGTGTGTGTGGTGCCACAAAGAGGGATTCCAAAAATTATTAGATGAGAGCCTCAGGTTACCTTCATACAGATAAGAGAGCCTGCAGTCATCATCTGGTCACATGTTTAAGTTTGACATAGAGTACATCCATCTGATTCAAACACTTCCCCACCTCCCCCTGAACATTAAAGCGATGTAACCCAAAGCAGGCCTCAATAAATGGTTACATTTCAGCTTCTCACAGGCAGACAGCCTGTCATATATGATACCTTCACATCCCTGCAAGACAGCTGGAGCTCAAAGCACCGGACATGCTACTAACATCTGTTGCATGCAGTCAGATAGAGCCTTTACTTTTTCACTTATTTTATAGGGACTCATTCATTTACCTACTTATTACATAACCATGTGACTATAAGATCCAACTGTAAGATCATGTTTTTGAATCTGAGACAAGGAAGTTGCTTTATGGGCCTTGGCAAAAGAGTCACTTGGTTTGTATAACCAAAATGATTCAGCTGGCAGACTCCTTTCCTCATTGATTCACACACAATACACAATATCTCCTCAATACACAGCCGCATGACTCACGTGAGTCAGACACGAAGCTTCATTGGGCCTAAGGACACATCTAAAGAGAGTGTAAGGTATACAGATTTTCATTATTCAGACAGTGGTGTTGTCACCCCTTAGAGGCCCGTGAGTCAACCTCACAGCATGTTGTATCCTATCAGTATGTGAATGCCAAACTTCTCTCATTACTATTATAGCTCTCCGCTCTGTCTCTCTGAGTGATTCATTTTATATGAGTGATACATGTTAGCAATATCCAGTGGTCCCATCAATGAAAGGAGTTACTCATCCTTCATCCCGATCATATGAGAACCCACTGGATGACCCTGCCTAACAATCCTCCAAAATAAGCTGGTGGGGGGAGGGTGGGTTGCCCTGTTACGAAGTTTTGATAATTTACTGCAGAAGGCTAAAACTACTGGTTGGAGTGACAAGATAGCAGTACCATCAACAGTGATAAGATGAGACTCCTTGCTTCCAATCATACCTATCTTTAAACCCTAACATCTTTTTAATACAAAGTGTTTTCCCTCCAAGAAAAATAAGTAAAATGAGTTATTCAGACTGTAATGTCTTATGTAAAAACTTGATTTGACTTTGTATCAAGACACAAGCGGGGAACCCTTTCAGCCACTTTAATACAGTAAGAGTTTTCTTGGAAACAGCATCTACTGGTCATTAGAGGAGGTGCAGCTAGGAAGAGTGAAATGAGCAATGAGCCCAATACAGTAGTTGTTTCACACACAAAAATTCACACACTGACACGAACATATGTTCAATATACCCTATACTGTATATGTGACTCTGATGGCAGGCACAATTTGTATTTTCTGATTAAAAGTATACCTCTTAATTAATCAATAACAGTGATAGACATGGAAAGTTACCATTATGCACTCCCACACACACCCCACACTGACAAATTAACTGATGCTAGAGCTAGATTTAAGCAAGATGACATCACCTAGCAGTCATCTCTCTGTGAAAACACACCACTTTGCCATAGTTGTGTGTGTAAGTGCATGCATGCGTGTGTTTCAGTGTGGCATTTTGGGCATTAGGCATTTTTCCTGAGGCACATCATCTACCACAAATAAACACACACACACAAGCTCTCTCACTCGCTCGCTCTCACTCTCTCTCCTTAGGAAACCGCTGACAGCTAACACACACACACACCTTCCTAGAGCTGTGGTCATCATTTCCCACCATGCTGTCACTTTTTGGGTGCTAATCCAACAGAGGAGTACTACACACAGTTAGCATTACCCCAGTCAGTATGGATTTAATCCATTTATTTTGCCTGTAGCACTTTTGGTTTTAATGTAACACAGCTGATTGATTCCCTCAAGCACTTATGGCAGATGAATCCCTGCTTCCAAGCTTCACTAATTTACTTCCTAGAATCAAAACCATCTGGAGCGTGGAGGAGGCTTAGTACTCTGTGTTTAGATTCAAACATGATGGGTTTTACGTTTTTAACTCTGAGCTTCCCAAAGTGGTAATGATTTTTCAAATTCTTTCAATCATCTCATTTCCCCATTTTTATATCAGTTTCAAGTTTTACACTATGATCCCAGTATCTGGGAACTATGTCATTTAGCCCGAGGGCAGACTGAAGTCACACTCCAGAGGGTTATTAACTGATTTTAGACCTCGCTGGAGGGACATCGCACAGAGATGTGTGACAGCATTTCTTGAGGAAGGTTTGAGCCCTTACAGTCACAGTTCATGAACCGTGTCTCTGGCAAGTCTGCTGCTCTGCTAAAACACTTCAATCCCCTCTATTTATTTCCACAACGCCAAACAGCTGACGATTCCTGCAGAAGGGCCAATGATTTCCATTGTTGTCATATATTTCCCCTCTTCCAGACATATGTCAATTTTATGTCAGAGGATTAGGGATGCCAGTTATTGTTCTGCAGCATGAGAATGATGTCAACTTTCATACAGAGCCATTTCTGTGAGATGTAGACCGCAAAGCAGCTGACAATTTCTGCAAAGATGCCAACACATCACATCATTTACAAAACTACATCCCTGCTCTTCAGCTCTGTCAGTTGTACCCCAGAGAGTTAAAGAGGGAGGGGGGAAAAGAATGATGTAATTTTTCCAGTAGGGCTTTAAATCTCAGAGTCATGCTAGTGTGCTGAGCCCTGGAAGATGAGGATGATGATGATGATGATGATGATGATGATGATGGTGCTGGTGGTTAGAGCGGCGGTGATGATGATGGTGCTGGTCAGTGCAGTGGTCATGGTGGTGATGACAATGATGATGTCATTTTCCCTGAAGCCTTTTCCTTTTTAGTTAATAACATGAGCCACTTCTCACTTGGTAGTGCTAGGAATCAGTGCACATATGACTTGAGCTGATTTACCTCTTTTAATCAAAAACCTTGTTGCGTGGAGGAGGCACTACTACTAATGTCCTCAGTAATGTATCTATTAATATTAATATCCCTAATGTATTACATTGGAGGGGAAATTAGGTTTACTTTGAATAATAGCATGACATAAAATTATTCTAATCTGAATGGGTGAAGTTGATAATGTTCACAACCCCCCTACCTTGATGTCTGTATGTGAGTGAGAGTCTTTTGATATTGGTTTTCTCAGTTTGTGTGAATTTGGGATACCTATTGTGTTATGGTCTTTGTCTGTCTGTTTGTGCTCTGGCTTTTTCTCTCTCTCTCTTCCTCTGTACCTCTTTCTTCATTTCCTTCCCTCCTGGCAGCGGAGTTGTGGGCGTGCACCTGCTTCCGGGTTTGCCACTCTGACACACCTGCATCGCATCTCAATCACCCACCAGAATCGTTAATAGAAGTATTTAAGGAAGAGTCCGCAATCCAATCCCCTCCAGATGGTTTAGTCATCTACTGTCTCCTGACTTTCCTGACAGCCTGAACCAGTTTTTGACAAACCTGTTTTTGTTAAGTCTGCAAGTTGTTTGTTTTTTTTTCACTTGCTTGCCTGCGTGTTTGCTGCCTTGCTCACACACTCTGTTCTCTGCCACAGGAATCATACAATCCACCCACCTGCTACGCTGTCTGTCTGTTACTTGGTGTATCATGGAAGACACACCGGAACATCTCTCCGTGGATTCCACCTGCCTGCTCAGCCCTGGGCCTCACACTCTGCCCAAACTCCTACACTCTCTGTTGTGTTCAATAAATCACCTTTAACTTTACTCACCGTGTCCGTCTGTTTTTGGGTTCATATCTGACAAATGTAATTAGTTCCCACATGATCTACTGACATATTATTTATTGCATTTTTGCTCTGATAATGTATATAATGTTGGATAATACTGTAATAGGAATAAGGATGTGTTAACTCCTTCTGCAATATTTCATCAGCAGATAACACATATTGTATAGACCAATTTGAAGCATATAAACTACTGGAAATTTACTGCATTGTATGGCAGTTTTTCATCAGCATTATCATCGATATTCCCGTCTTGTGACAAGGTTTAACTGACATTTAGTATCTGTTTGAGAGCTCTCTTTTCTGCCATGATTTGTGTGGTATCAATATATCAGTATATATCTGTTCACTAAAATAAAGTACTTCTTGTTTGTTTTAAGAAGAAGGGGTTCCCTCTTCTAAAAGCTGAGCAAAGACATACAGTAGGCTACCAGCTCTCTAACTCTCAAGTGTGAGTTGGAATGCTGAAAGAAACTTCTACATCTATGATGATTAGGGTGATCTAGTGTCATTACTGGTGTTTTTATTTTTTTAAAAGCCCACATCTTTCTGAGGAGTCTGTATAAGCTCCAGTGCTGAAGAGCCAGCCCATCCTCGATTGCCCTACTCAGCACTGATGAGACACTGTGCTCAGTGTTTGTATTCGCATCAAAAGCAATTACTTCAACATGCTCAAGTTTCAAATGTGAGTGAATGACTATATACATCATGCCTTCTACAGACAAAGTGTAGTCATCATTGTTTCCATTGTTTTCAATCTTTCTTAATTTCAACTTATTTCCAAAATTCCCTGTTATTTTCCAGTTCCACCCCAGTGTGTTAGCTCTGAACTATAAATTATGTCACTCTGCCACTGGGCTTCTTGCTCATTATGGCTAAACTGATAACAGATGCAGAGAGCCTTTAACTGTTAAAACATTTAAACACTAAACAGCTGACTATGCCAGAGCTTTTAAAGGGCAAGCACACAAAATAATCAATTTGAAGCTAAAAATCAATTCCTTTAGCCAGGTCGTTGTAAAACACACCAACACAGTCACCATTACTTTGATTCTGTAAAGGATGCTACTGTTGCAAGGCTGGGAGGTTCAAAGCTCTTGCTGAAATTCAAATCTAACACACAGACTGATTTAGTGAAAGGAGTTATAACCCCTCCTTTGTCTCTAACGGGTCAAACCACCAACTGTAGTGTAGTTTTCCACCTTTTCAAATGGTGCACATAAAAGCCAAAAGTGAGACTCACTGTTTAACAACTAGCACCATTATCTTTGTTTGCTTGCATTGGTTTTAGCTGTTTTCCCATTTCCTATGTTTTCCCAGTTACACCCTTGTGTGTTAAAATATATCTAGTTTTACACAGGGCATGATGTCATTCGACCTGCTGGTCTTTCCCACATTCATGGCTCAGCTGATAACACATGTGGCAGAGAACTGTTAAAACATGGGTGTGTTGCAGCTTTAAACTCCTAACCCATATCAACCTTCCCTGAGAAACAGAGTGAGGAGGGGATTTGGCAAAGAAAACAGGTCCCTTTTTCCCTCACCAGCAACCATCAGCTTTAAAGCTCATCTAGACTGTGATTACCTTGGCTGAATACAGTAACCCAGCCCATGTTGTTGTAGGCAGGCTACAGCTGTGCCTCACTCCATAAAACCTGCAAAAATCATTTCATAGTCATTCCTTTACCTTGCTGGCTTACGAAACTAAAAACCCCACTTGAATAAATCAGCAGGAGTGCAGGAGCCTTTTAAAATGGTCAGACAGAGTTAAGCTGTTGAATTCCATATACTGTGGTGCCTGATATTTGTTTGACATCAGTATAGGCTGTGGTTGCACATTTGATCCAGACTGCTGTACAAACCAAACACTACTCCACCAACAGCCCAGTGAAAAGTCAGACGCTTTCATTCAGTAAATCTGTGCCGTGAGTCAAAGTAACTAAAGTAGACTCTCCATACATACATAAGTGGATGATTATGCGATAACATCTGACTCACCAACTGGTCTTTTGTGGTTCTGCAGCACGCTAGTAGCCTATTCTTACTCTGTGTCAAACACCATTGAACTAAGTCTGGTGCAAAGTAAATAGTAAATATAACTTCATACAGCTGTGCTAATTAAAACTAATACAGAGGTTAGCTGTATGTGGGGGAAATGAGAAGGACACTGAAATGAATTCAAGTCCCACTGGGGCACTCACAGGATAAGCTCAGCTGATATGGACCCTTGAGAGGAAGTTGGACTTGTTTATGAAGGAAATGACATCATTGGGCTAGGATCAGACGATGACCTCATGCTGACAAGATAATGACTGAGAGAGAGAGAGAGAGAGAGACAGAGAGAGACAGAGAGAGCACTGTTTAGTTTAGTTGCAGCAGTCATGTGCAGATGAAAGGTTAACAAGTGCACTATGGTTATTTTAAACCTCAAAGCCGAGTGCTTAATAGCTTTGGTGAATGGCTGCTAAGCAACATTATCTGATTTTAATACGATAATGTCAGACTAATGGTGTGTCTCTTGATTTGCTAGTCTTAAACAAACATTCAGTATAAAAACGTAGGCCACATTTTCTCATACAGTAAAAATGTGAGGAATTGGTTATACCAGTTGCCATGTATCTTCAATGCAGTACGTACTGTGTTGTCTCAAATAGACATATAGATCGTGTTCAAAGATGGGAGGACAGAAAATGCCTAAAGTGTGCTCATTTCTCAACAAACATTCTGCATTGCAAGCATTAATGCAACAGGTGGTAAAGATTGTGAGATACTGTACAACCTATGTGTGTCAAAGGCTCAGATATTTGATGTCACTTGTGGATGGAGTGGACGTAATGAGCGTGAGCAATCGGAAGAAATATGTTTAATTCAAATTTTGGATCTTAAATAATCTGGTGAGGAATTTCAATGAATGTCTATGCAGAACATTTAATCTTGGACAACCTCGATTCCTGATGGATTTGGATAAACATGATTTTCCGGTAAGTAAAAATTATTAGAAGATAAGCAACCTATTTCTGGTTCTGTGTTGTACAAGTTATTTATTCTTTTAATGTAGCTTTTCCAAGCCTTTTCACTCACACAAGGGACCACTGCAACTTTCCAAAACAACATTCTGTTGCTCCGCACTTTCTATAAACTGCTCTGTGACGACCTCTAATTGTCCAGGGGATTGGGACAGCGTGATTGAAAATAAAAATCCTTCACGCCAAAAAAATTACTAGAGGGGGTTTGGAGGAGCTGTTGGACCTCCCAAGAGCAGAGCTGGACTAAAGCCCAAAAACAAAGCTTGCTGCTGGGTTAAGGATCTTAGAATATGTTGGATTATGGAGCCAGAGAGGCAGAACATGCCCGGGGACAGTGGTGGAAAACTAATACTGATTTTGGCTACAGAGGGATACTGGGTTGTGTGAGAGACAGTTTGTTCTGTGTTGTTAGGATAATGACACTATTCAGGGGATAAAAATAATGGATTTTAACAGGGGTAGTCTACCGTTAGCCAACAGTTAGTTTACAGTGCAGACAGCTGTTTTCCCTGCATTAGTCCATGAGTGGTAGTCTAACATAATTAAAAATGATCACCAGTGTTAAAAGAAATAAAGCTATGATATAGTAAATACTGCTAGAATAGCACCAGTGTTTTGTGAATCAGAAATTCAAATGTGTGGCACAATATCTGGCATAGTAAAATTTTAAAAAATAAATTAAAAAAAGCACAGATGATGTGAAAAAGAGTCATGTTTTGTGGAAGTGTTCCAGGAGATTACAGTTTCTCCATTGGTTTGGCTCATTTCTTGAAACAAAAATTACATTCTCAAAACATCATGGACAAACCTCCAAACCACTTGGCAATTGTTCACAACAGAATTGAATTTCTCATTCTTTTCATCAAATTGCATTATGTAAAAGTACATGTCTCAATGTCTCAGTACATCTTTGCAAATGATTAAGTACAGGTAGCCTACATTTAGCACAATTTTCAAGTGAATAGATCTTGTTGATCTAAACTGATTGTTGATTCTGCAGTCTAATGGTTGTTCACTCCAAAACGTGATAGCGTCATTTCACAAGCCATCACATGCACAATAGTCTGTTCAATTGTCAAAATTTGTCAAGAACATAATACCATGAATACCATATATGAATCCCTTGGAACATTTGATAAATTTATTACAGCAACTGACAGTCAGGTGAAACTAGAACTTGACTAACGAAGGAGGAGTGTCACACATCTCAGATGACCAATCAAACAGTATGTTTAGTTACCTGACAGGTTCTGTCCATTACTGTGAATGTATGTAAAGAGCTTGACCATGCAGTACCAGTACAATTTCTGAACATGGAGGCACCTGGCCAAGTAAATGAACAAGGGCAACTGCCTGCTCGAGGAAGAGGAAGAAGAGGAAGAGGAGGAGGAGGAGGAGTAAGGGTGCGTGGTGGTGGAATAGGGGGAAGAGGCAGAGGAGCACAAAGACACCATGCTGTCCCGGACGAAATTCGGGCCACAATTATAGACCATGTCATCAACCATGGCCTCACAATGGCGGAGGCAGGTCGCAGAGTGCAGCCTAATGTGCCTCGCTCTACAGTCTCCTCCATCATCCAAACCTTTCGCAGGGAAAACAGGTATGTAGTCAGTCAATGATGGAATTATATGTTGTATAGGACAGGACACTGTGCATAGAGCAAGAAATATATTTATTTACACGTTTGCCTATTCATTTAGTGTGTGTGTGTGTGTGTGTGTGTGTGTGTGTGATATCTTACCTCAATGGGATGTTATGATACTAAAAATGAAAAGAAAAACATTGGAGTATTGATGATACAGTTTACAGTAGTATAATGCCATCACATTGAGACAGATCCGCGCTGCAATCCTACAAGACAATGCCATATTCCAAAATGTCAACTCTATAAGCATCTCCACAATAGACCGGATATTGAAGAAGAATCTGATGACTATGAAGCAAATTTACAGGGTACCATTTGAGAGGAACTCTGATAGAGTGAAAGAGCTGCGGTACCAGTATGTACATGTAAATCAGTTACTGGTTGTCCATCATTATAACCTTTTTTACAATTACAGTTTTTCTCAGTCGCTTTGGTGCATTTCTCGAATCATCCTTAACATTTGCAAAACAGTAAGTGCATTTCTCAAAACAGGTAGTACAAACAGCACAACATAGTGGTTTACCTGCAAAAGCCCATAACTTGCTCAAAATCCTTAGTCTATCTCTCAAAAGCAAATCTTTATGTCATTGAACTTGTCAGTGCCATCAGAACAACAAGTCCTTGTGTCTTGTTTATGAACAAGCAAGTCAAAATGTTTAGCCATCTTGTCAATATAACAGTGTACTCTGTAAGTATTTTCTGTACATTTTGGCTAAGATTTTGATGACAATGATTGAAAATGCACAAGGCTGCACTTTTTTTTGTATGGTATATATCACTTTCACCAGTACAAAGTTATACATTGCAGGAGAGAGGACAGGAATCACAGCTATGCTTTTAATGTTCATACTGTAATTTGTTGACAGAGCATGTCATTGTAATACAGAAAAGAAAGAGACAGGACTGCTGCATGGGATACACCCCTTTGACTGACGTTCCGGTCTTTTGTATCTCTTCCACATCACAACAGATATCTTTATCAATTCAGGTTTTCACATTTACAAAAAAATTCTAATAGACATGTATAGAATGTCTATCTATATATATTTCTGCTCACTGTGTATTGTTACTGTTTACTGGTATTGAGTATTGGTATGAGTGTTGCTATTGTGATGTTGTTGTGGTCTATTCTTACTTTGTTTATGGTCCTTAAGAAACAACATTTCGTTTAGCTATGTACTTGTAGGCAAAGGATATGAATGAAGTATTTTAACTTTCATTTTTGATAACGTGTTCAACCATTTTGAATGTAGTGACTAATGCAATGAACTTATGTCTAGATGTTTTGGGGGGTAAGATTATTCAACAGAGACTGGTATAATTCATTGTGATCAGCAGGACATAACCAATTGATAATGTAGGAAACAGCAGACAATTGTACATAATCATTTGAATCAGTGTGTCAAGTCATTTGCAATTTTTTTAAAACAATGAGAAAGTGCTTTTATGATGTGCACAAGTGACAAGATGATGTGGAGGTTGAACAATTAGTTTTGAGAATTTCAATTCTGATCTGAGAAATGCACCAAAGCGACTGAGAAAAACTGTAAGCAGTGGTTCCCTATTTTTTTTGGCTTCAGTACCCACTTTACCTGATTTGTGTATCCAGGTAATCCAGGTATGAAAGTATTTGATTTATCTGACTTCAACACTTCGCCTTAAAACTGCAGCTTACTGTATGATGCAATTATCATTGTAATCCTTATTTTGAAGAATATAACTGAATGGGAAGAATGAGTTTTACTGTAACATTTCAGTAAGTCTAGTCATTGATGATTTCCCCCCTCCCCTTTCTGTCAAATACCCCTTGTAGTAGGGGTACATGTACCCCAGGTTTGGAACCACTGGAGTAGTGGCCAGTAGTATATTGAACTTGTGGAGAAGATGGAACATTCCTATGTAACTGTCTGTAACTGTAGTGTATGACTCCATATCTGAGAATGGTGTGGCAACTCACATCCCCAGTCTTGGCCCATACAATACACAGAAGATCCTCATCATCTTGGACCGCCTTCATTTGGATTTGATCCCTGAAAATGAGAGAGGTCTCGTAGGGCCTCACTTACCACAATATGTCATTGTATGGGACAATGCGAATTTCCACCGTGGCCCGCTCATCAGGGCCTAGTTCACTACTCATCCAAGGATGGTCATGGTGTTCCTACCACCTCATTCTCCTTTCCTCAATCCTATTGAGGAGTATTTCTCTGCTTGGAGGTGGAGAGTGTATGAGAATCGGGCTCAAGATCAGAGGTCCCTGCTCCATGCAATGGACGCTACGTGTGAGGATATTACAGGAGATTAGTGTAGGGGATGGTTGCAACATGCACGCCGTTTCTTCCCTCGTTGCATCGCAAGGGAGAATATACGCTGTGATGTGGACGAGAATCTGTGGCCAGACAGCAGCGTGTGGATGGCCAGGAGGGTGAGAACGGTGGCCAGGAGAGGGAGGGTGAGGACCGCAAACCAGTGAAGAACTGTTACCTGTGAAACTCCAGCTTTATTTACAGCACTGTAGGCTGAATATAATTTTCATTGTTTTTTGTTTGAGTGTTTATATTACAGTATATTATGCTGTATACATTTTCTTTTTACTCTGATGCATGGAAGTTACTTTATGTGTGTGAATAAAGTACCCTAAAATCCTATTCTTACCCTAAAGTCCTATTTCTTTTTTTCAGTTTTATACACAATTGTATTCTGTTAGCTAGACAAAAAACAGTACATTAACCATTTTCAATGAAGGACTGGGCTAAAACTGAAAGGTGGACATGAGGGATATTTCTGTGGTCCTCTGCCATAGTGACAAAACATCTAAAGATTTTGACTTGCCGTGCTTACACAATGCCAAAGGGAGGAAGCATTTTGGGGGCACTGACTGTTTAAATGAGAAGGAAATTTAGTTTTGACACATGAGTGAACTGTTTTGGGAGAGGTATGAGCTTTTGCAGGTGAACCATGGTGTTGTGCCTAACCATCCACGTTATTCTGGCAAAAGCACTAAGTGTTGAGAACGTCCGGTCTGTTTTAAGAAATGAGCCAAAGCAATTGAAGGATTTTCTTGGCACTGACTCTTTATATGGGAAAGGAATTTAGTTTTGAAGCATGAGTGAACAGTTTTGGGAGAGATATGAGCTTTTGCAAGTGAGCTATAGTGTTGTGCTGAACTGTAAGACTGTTTTGCCAAATTATCTTAGAGTTTTGAGAATGTAATTTTTGTTTCAAGAAATGAGCCAAACCAATGGAGAAAAACTGTAATACAGGTGTGTAGTAATTGTAATTGACAATATCAGCATAATATAGTAAGTTTCAGTTTTAAAACTACACTTTCAGAAGGATTTAAATTAAAATAATCATCAAAACTCTGAATCCTTATCAAAAGGACCAAAGAACTAAACCTAATTAGAGATGTGATGTTCAGAGTTCTGGGTCTACCCCTGGGGTATTTTCCCAGTTGGACCTGGAAAACCTTCAGTGTAAGGGTGGAAGTTTTCCCTTCAACTTCAACAAGTTAGTGTTGGAGGAAACATGCCACCTGGATTGTCTTTTTTATCAACAACAAGGAAATGTTAGTTAATGTAATGCAAAATTTTATTGAATGTATTATATTGAACCGTGTGCTGACGATGTATGTCATTTGCTTTCTGCCATATATACATACAAACTTGCTGTACGATATCCGCTCATAGTGCCTAAAGCATTATCAATGTTTATGCCATCACAGCGATTGGTTAGGGAAAGATCGTATTTAATGGAGAAAAAGTCCACAGTGACTTGAAGCAAGTGACTCAACATGTTTATTTTATTGAAATTCAACCAAAACCAACATTTTCACTTACCTTAACCAAAGTGCATTTGTTGCCTAAACCTACACAGGCAGGACTCAGTCCTGTGCTTTGCATGTTTGCCATTCACTCCAACCATCTCCCTATGACTCCTGTGAGAAACAGAAAGCTAGTGCTTCAGTCACTCAAAAGAACAATGTCTATCTTATCATCAGAACATGGTTGTGAAACAAATTAGTATAACTGTAATTTCTAGGAGACAAAGTTGATGCATCACAGTGTTTGTACAACATGGTGAGTTGAAGACATGATCACATTTTAATAGGTAAGCAAACTCTTGTCCTGTGCAAACACTCTTTAGCGCAGCTGAGTCTGGTATATTTCCACTGTTATATTTTAAACCTTCATAATTATAGAGATATAGG